CATATACCAGAAGTAACCTAAGTGTCCACCAGCTAGGGACTTGTTTTCGCTGTGGAACATGAGCAGGTGTTTAGAAGATGGAGACTCACTCCCAGACCTTCCAAAAGAGAGCATATGTGCTGTGGGATAGTGCTCTTGAACACTGTAAAGATTTGTCACTCATATTGGTTTAATAAAATGCTGATTGGCCAGTAGCCAGACAGAAAGTATAGGCAGTATAGGTGGGACAACCAGACTGAGAGAATTCTGGGAAGAGGAAAGGTGGAGACACAGTCACAAACCAGATGCAAAGGAAGCAAGCTAAGAATACCTTACTGAGAAAAGGTACCAAACCACGTGGCTAAACATAGGCAAGAATTATGAGTGAATTTAAGTCATAAAAGCTAGTTAGTAATAAGCCTGAGCAATAGGCCAAAGAGTTTATAATTAATATAAGCCTCTGTGTATTTACTTGGGAACTGAATGGCCGTGAGACTAGGTGGACAGAAACTTCTGCCAATACCTATGTCCAGAAAAATAAAGCATCCAGAGGCTTCTAGAAAAGCTTTATTCATAATAGCCCCACACTGGAAACACTTAAATGTCCACCAACAGAATAGATGAATTATAGTGAGTTCATACGATGAATTACTATATAAAACAGAAAAATAAATGAACAGATATACACAACAACAGAAATAAATTTCAAAACAAAATAAATCAGTTCCAAGAGTATGAACTATGTGATGCCATTTCTGTGAAGTTCAGTGGGTAAAGCCAAGCCATGCAGACAAACCAGGGCCTGTCTGACCAAAGGAAGAATAGATTTCTGGAAAAAACTGAGAAATCTTTTGAGAAGAGGGTCGTGGGATTAGAGTGTGGCTTACAAAGTGGATGCTTTTGTCAAAATCAGTGGACTGCACACACTTCAGGTCTTGCCATCTATGAAATTTGACTTTATCTTTTTTAAAAAATATTTTCATTATTTCATGTATATAAGTGCTTGCCTATATGTATGTCTGCTCAACACATACATGCCTGGTGCCCTTGAGGACCAGAAGAGAATATTGGATCCCTTGGAACTGGAAGAACAGATGTATGTGAACCACATGTGGGTGCTGGGAACTGAGTCCAGGTTTTCTAGAACAGTCAGTGCTGTTAATCACTGAGTCATCTCTGTGATTTTTATCGTAATTCAATTTCAAAATTAACTATTGAATGAAAAAAATTGCTAGCCAAGTTTAATATACCTCGAAATAGAATAACCTTCAAACAATTTCATGTGGGGTGAAAGGGAAGAAATAAGACAGAATACAAATACTGTAGGCTTCTATCTGCGCTAAAGAGGCTTTTTTTAACATAATCTTGTGTATATGCAAGACTTCTAGAAGGATCTGTGAGCAAGTGTTGACAGTTACCTTTGGGGAGGGAATGTGGGGGACTCAGGTCTGAGGTGGAACACACTAAGATGGCTCTTTGTACTGTTGTAATTTCTTAGCTTGCTCATATCAGTTTTTTGTTGCTATGAAGTCTGATTAAGATCTTGACAACAGGGTGTTCTGAGGTTGAATTTCAACTTCTCTCTACCCTGGATAGGTCAGGAAGGAGGGGGCAGCCTGAAGTGCCAAGTTGGAAGTGGCATTTGGACAGGCGGATCCTGATTCCTTCAAGCCCCTGAGCACCTGGATTCTTCTGGCCCCAGACACCAATGGAAATTAACTGAAATCTGGTCACAGAGATTTCAGGCTGACATAACACACTTTTGGTTCCTCCTATGATGTGGGGAGATTCATCTGAGTGAAAGAATTTTGAATGTGAAGAGAGTGAAACCTCCCCAGGGGCCTAGAGACAAGATTTTTAAGATGCTGTAGGTCTGGGAAGAGGCCACTGAGAAATAGGGACCTTGCTCTGGGATGGGACAGCCAGATGTAGTTTCTCACCAGACAATCCAGTAGCTGGCTTTTATTTCTATAAATAAGAATATACCCATGTTATTATATTATCTTTATCCATTTCAGGGATGACTGTTAAGTGAGTTGATATCCTACCTGGAGTCTGAAGTCAATGCCTCTCTATTGCTAGCAAGAGGTTTTGGAAGAAATAACTTCACCTGTCCCAGGAAGCTGCCCCAGAGAAACTGAATTCAGAGGGAGCAGGGAAGGAGACACAAAACCTGCCCTTGGAGACATCTTATTTGAGTAGGGAGTCCCTGGGCCTTGGCCTTTGGAATGAAAGACCTTTATGTACTTCTAAGTGTCTGGTAAAGACATTCAGAAGATAATTATGGTCAGAATTTTGTGTTCAGCTAATTGTGACCCCAAATATCTGGTTCACATATTAAGAAGAGGGGACTCAATACAAAATGTTGAAGGCAAATAGATGTGGTGGCCAAAGACGGCCTTCTGCAACTAGCTAAACCTCAGATGGAAGTTGAAAGTCATGAACTGGCTTTCAGTCGATGCATGGGGACTGAGGAGGATGCTGGGAGGAGTTATCAATGGCAGAAGGAAAGGGGTGCTCACCTAAGATGAGGATCCCCAACTAGGGGAAAGGCCCTTACAGACTGTCTAGTCTGGTCCTTTCACAGTGGAAACCGATGGTCAGAGTGCAGAATGACTTGCTCCATGTCACATGTGGGAACCTAGCTGGGTTTACGGTGCTCTGTAACCAAGGGGCTCCAGTGAGCCCCTCAGGGGAACCCTGGCCCTTGGAAAGCGGAGGTAGTGCAAAGCTCTTTGGTAGCCAAGCACCTGTTCTTTTGCTATCTGCTGACATTTTCCTGCTGCATTCTGTGGAGATGGAGCCACCAAGTGGCCTGGAGAGATGACACCAGACACTGTTGCTTACTCAACAGCTTCTCCTACCATGCCTTCTCTCCTGCTACAATTTAGATTTTCATTTGTTTAGTGAATGAAATCCCTTGATCAGAAAACACAGGCTAATTCCCAGTTGATGGTATTGTAACTGAAAGCCATCTTCTCTGTCAGTGGCCGGCCAAAGGAAACACATGTGACCCGGTTCTGCCCAATGAGGTATAAAGGGGAGTCTCCAGAGCACTTTTGAGAGAGGCTGTATTTTCCCTAACAAAAGAGAAAGGTGTGCATTGGCACCATCAGAACCCCCCACAACTCCTGCACCCTTTCTTCATTCCTAGAAGGAACATAAAAGAAGTAGATGTGACTCACGGTTCCAGCGAGAGGGCAAAAGTTTGTCTCCCTAAGGATGACATTGCGAACTGTGGAGGCCAAGCCTTTGGCCGTGTAAGTGAGCCATGGGCTGATCTTACCTCCGCACTTGCATTAAGTAAACCCCCGAGGGTCCTATAGCCAATGCACCGTCCACTGCAGTTTCGGTTGTTTACAGGCCAAAGCATTCCACATGAATGCAAGCCAGACACACTGGTGCACCTCCACACAGCTGTAAGAGATGTCACTCGGCGACAGCCTTAGGTCATTCATTCCCTTCCACTATGAGTCCTGCTCTCCAGATGGTATTTAGTACTAGAGTCCCCCACTGACCCTACCAAACCCCTTCTTCCCTACTAGCCGTGCTACTTATCTTTCGGCGCCCTCTTGGGATGCTCTTCTGCCCTGACCTTTCCCACGGCATCAAACACGTGCCCGTTGTATACACATCAGCCCCTGACTTAGTGGTCATTCTCGTGGTGACCTGCTCTGGCTCAGTCACAGTGCTGGCTGTACACCCAGCAGCAGTCGAGAATGTCAATCACAACAAGGCTGTGGAGATCAGCGAGTTGGTAAGGAGGGGCCAACAATGTGACATGATCATCACTATTTCTATCACAGTCTCATCTGGGAGTCTTAGGAAAAGGACCAGTTCTGTCTGCTTCAGGACTATCCTGAGCCCATCTCAGAGGGGGCAACTGGAAGGCCTCGTGGTGACAGATCTTTCCTGGGTAAGCAGGACCTTAGTGTAGGCTGGCTTCCAGCCACCTACCTTTCCCTGTAAGCCCAGTAAGGTCAAGGCCCTTCATGACTAGAGGAAGGAGAAAAGGGTTTAGAGTGACAGGCCTAGCTTTGTTGGAACTAGAAGTGCCACTAGCTGGGCATAGAACTTGTCCCTTGGCTACTCTAAGCCTTGTTTTTTCTTCTAGGACAAGTGAAGATCCTAACACCGGCTGTCTCACCGGGTAACCACAAGTATGGAATATGATAACTGGTAGATTCAGCAGGTCCAGGAAGGGCAGGCACCCAGGAGGTGGACAGAGAGTAACTGTTTATTCATCCACCTCCCTCTGTCTCCTCCACAAGACACAAAATCACAGACCAGTCAGCATGCTGGAACTTTCCACAGCAGGCAGAGTTTGACAAGAGTAAGCCTTCAACAGCGCAGTCAGGAGTTCTCCCTTTCATGGAACCAGGCACATACTTGGTTTCTGATGGGGTTCCTTGGATCCCCATACTATCTTCTGCCCAGAAAAAAATGTCATCTGTGGACATTATCTGCCCACCAGCGCTTCTTTTCAGCAGGGAAGAGAGTGTCACTGAGGGACAAGAGAGAACTTCCTCTCCTGTCTCTCTTTCGTGTGAGGGGTCCTATGGGTTCCCATGGACACCCTGGAGTAATTTCCCATACTGCCAGGTCAGTTGATTTACTCTGGTAGGGTCTGGGACCAATAAACATCTCTCAGTCGCAGCCACACTGTTGCTACCAGGCCTGGCCACAAAGTACAGCCAGCAGGGGAAAGGCCTTCCCAGAGGAGGACAGACTAAGTGTAGTGACCCAGAACTTGGAGAGGAGCTGTTGAATCTGCTCTGGGTCTAGCCAAGGGGAGACTTAGATACCTCTTTGATACCCCCCTTCCAAAGATACACCGTTGTCCGTCCTCAGAGTGTTATCCCAGCTGTACTGGGCTGTCAGGAACAGCATTCCCAGAAGAATCAAACCGAGTTCCCTGGAAAAACAGTTTTCTCAGAAGTCTAGGCCAGGGAGCTGAGCAGTTTCTGGCCAAGACAATAAAGGGATCTAGGAGTTGAAGGAGACTCAGTGGGGAGCTGGGAAAGGGGTTTGAATTGTTAATTAATATAAAACAAGACAAGTAATAAGACAGGTCAGCCAAGGGTGAGCAGGAATGTTGTGATGTTAGCACCTCAGGCTGCTCAGCCTTTGGTGATGGCGCCACATAGGGTCCAAGTCTTCAGGAGGCTTTGACTCCGACTCTCACTCTGGCAGTGAGAAGTTGCTTAAGATCAGAGTTCAGTTGTGGATAGGAAGTTCCCTCAGAGTGACAGAGATGAACTGGGGCATCCTGAAGAGGCACAGGGCTGAGCTCTCATCCTGGTGATCTGATCCCCATGTGGACACCATGGGAACAAACCCAGAGCCCAGAACCAGAGCCCAGCATGGGACCAGCAGTCTTTCAAAGTCACATAGTGCAAGATCTTGAGTCCTGTTCCCTGTTTCCTGCCTGTCCCAGAGGAGATAGCAAGGTCCTAGGAAAGATGGCCCCCATGATCTCCCAAAGGGCCTCACTTCTCTTCTGAGCCTATCTTTCAGTCCCCTGCTGCCATCTCTGAATCTGAGCCTAGAGAAAGAGGTGGCTAATTGGCTAGATCTTCTTGGGGTGTTGGCATCATGGGGTCACACGCGGGTCTGAGCACCAGTGTTCTGTGCAAGGTGTGCCGGAAGGTCCATAGTCCTCAAAAGGGTGGGGGGCCATGCTTGTGCTCCTGTGGCTTTTCCTAAGTGTTAATTCTTGTCGAATTAGCCCAGTCAGGAAAATCATCCAAGTTGAATATGGATCGTCCCCAGGTGTTGACTGACAGAAACACACTTGCGATTCCAATGCAGTTCATTATAAATCCTGTTTTTACCTACAGAATAAAAGCAGGATTAGTCAGTAACTCAGGTCTTGTCTGGGCCCCATGTTCCTGCATTCTGGGCCCCTCTCATTCCCAGACAAAGCAATCCAAGCGTCATTGTTGCTGAAGGAATCCCTGGGAAGGAGTCAGCTCAGGTTCTCTACATGGCATTGGGAAGTGACTTGGGAGACATGATGTGAGACATCTGCCACTCCTTGTGACCCTCCAGCTCTTTCTGCCACCCAGGTTGCATGCTTTCCTAACTATCATGAGTCATCACCCCAAAGCCCTAGCACAGACTTGATGCTGGGACTCAGTTTCAGATTTGCAGCTTGTGGTTTCTGAGGTTCGTGTGTTTAAAGAAAACTCAGGAGGAAACCCAGAATGCTCCAGGTAAGGACCGGTCTGACTCCCCAGTTCACCTATTCACTTTTACCCAGTCTAGAGCCACAGAGTTACTCTTCCCCCATCAGAGGCGAGAAAGCCAAACCTGGCTTGAAATGCTCTGCCTGTAACCGTGTTTGCTTCCAAGGCATCATTGACTCCTAAGCAAATGGGCTTTCCATCATACATCCCTTCTTCAGACACCACACAAGCCTCTCTGACTACCGACCCCCTTCTGGATGGCTGTAGGGTTCCTGCTGGTTGTCAATTCTGCTGTCATGTGAGGGCCCACTCCATCCCTTCCAAGTGTTCTTCCAGGATTTCCCTGGGACCCACAAAGTTTTCTCCAGATAGCACAGAACTTTTCTCCATGGGACAGAACTGATATGAAATAGCAGATCATTTCAGTAAATAAGAAAGGCTACACCATAAATGAAAAGGCCAAATATAAGTCTAGGTGTTCTGTGGTATTCTTAGATGACATGAGATCCTCTGTTATCCTTTCCTTGTGTGTGTGAAGGTGTGCTCGCTCATGCTTGCATGTGTGGGGACCAGAAGCTGGTGTTGAGTGTTGGTGCGGGAGAATTGTCTGTATTCTGTCAATCATGTTTTAAATAAACGCTGATTGGCCAGGCAGGAGGCGTAGGTAGGAAAACCAGACAGGAAGTGGAAATGATGCAAGGAGAGCAGGAGAATGCTGGGAAGGAGGAAGCTGATTCGTCCCACTCCTGCCCAGACCACCGAAGCAGCAGGATGTGAGCCACATGGCTAAAATAGATCAAAAAAAATGGGTTAATCAAGATGTGAGAGTTAGCCAGTAAGAAGCCTGACCTAATGGGCCAATCAGCTTTATAACTTATAGAGTCCTTTGTGTGATTTTTCCCTGGGACTGAACAGCTGGGGGGCCGGACAGGACAAAAAAAATCCCAACAAACAGGCCCCTCTCATGTTACAGAGTGTCCTCCTCTATAATTCTCCACCTTTAATTTTTTTTTAGATTTATTTTATGTGTCTGAGTGTTTTGCCTGCATGTGTGTATATGTGCAGTGTGCGTGCCTGATGGCCGTAAGCCACTATGTGGGCATTGGGAACTGGACCTGGGTCCCCTGTAAGAACAGTGAGTGCTCTTAACCACTAAGCCTTCTCTCCAACCCTCTGCTTCAAGAGGCTGAATTTCACTGATTTGGCTATACCGGCTGGCCAAGGAGCCCCTAAGATCCTTCTATTTTCACCGTCTGAGTCCTGGGATTACAGACATGCACTACCATGCCTGGCTTTTTGTGTGAGTGCTGAGGATCCAAACTCAGGTCTTTGTGTTTGCACAGCAAGCATTTTACCAACGGAGCCATCTCCCCAGCCCCAGATGCCATCCTCTTGAAACTCACACAACATAAGGAGGACATCCCTTATACCAATAACATCCAACAGGAGCAAATAAAAGGAGCTGTTACCATGTCAATAATTTTGACGTGTCCATAGGCAAACACGATGGCATTAGGCGGGGTGGCCACAGGCAACATGAAGGCAAGTGACGCACTCATGGTACAGGGAATCATGACATACAGCGGATGGATGCCGATGGACCGAGACTGGAGAGACATACAACATGGCAACTCACAGCACAGCACATGCAGAAGCCCCCCCACCCCCCGCGCGCCGGAGGGGGGGGGGGCGGGGGGGGGGCCCGGCCGCCGCGGCGGGCCGAGCGGGGGGCGGGGGGGGGGCGGGGGGGGGGCGCGCG